GTATCTTACTACAGTCTTAATGTTTCTATACTTCTCTTTACTATTGTGTGCGAAAATAGTCTGAAAATACCATACCAAATTGCTCAGTCTACAACAAACTGGCTGCCGCCTGCCAACACTGCAACAATGAATATATGGCCGTCGGCTTCGCGACGGTACGCGACGGGAGCTTCTAGGCTACGTGTCCGGACACTTTATCCTCAACAGTTGCTCTTGCGACACGTTACACGCATGACTTGCCGCAACGGACGTCTGCTGATTGACCGAGATGTGTGTATCAGGCTCGATTAAGCGGCGAGAAGGGCAAGGCAATTTTTTAGGGCAGGTGAGAATCGCCTTGAATTTTTCTAAAATGGACGGGACAGGGCAATGTTTAAAAGCGCACCAACGGCAACTTTTCAATTTCAGAGAAGGGCACCAAGCACTTTTGTAAAATAAAGGAGAAAACTCTAACAAATTAAGTACATCAAATCGTCTTGCTTTTAATGCCTAACAAAACAATATGCCCGCATGGTAAGCTTAGCAACGGGGCAACACCGACCTGATACCCCTCTGCTAATGGTAAGTACAGATAACAATAAATTTTATATGCCCGCTATCAGAGAGTGATCATTATCCCGATGCTGTTATTGTTTCCTTCCTGCGACTATCTTGTTTTAAGCTATCATTGCACTAAAAGCACGCACGCGCACGTTTATGTTGATGTCGACTTAATAACCGAAACTAGGGCAGTAGATTAAAGGGCACGAGGCATATTACACAAGGGCAGGCAGGTGACCTGCCGTCGGTCGAGTTGGATTTTCAGGGGCAGTAGGGCAATTAGATAGGGGCACCAAGACGGCAATTATGCCGTCAGTCGCGTCGGTTACTATTCGAGACACCTGTGTTGTATGTGCGTGTGAGAGAGAGGAATGTGATGCTAGTGTGTTATGCGTGAAGGAGAGTAGAGAGCTAGATGGTTGTGTGCACGCGCCGGCGTCGTGTGCGTCGTGTGGTGCTGTGAGAGATGAGGAGAGAGCTTAGAGGTGTGTGTGCAGAAGATAGAGAGAGAGCCCTGTCGCGTGTGTGCTGTGAAAGAGAGAGGAGAGCCGAGCAGAAGAACGGAATGAAAGCAAGTGGCTCGAATTTAAACCGGACGGCAATTGACGTCGGTGCCGCCTATCAAATTGACCTGTACTGCCCCCTGAAAACATCCACTCGAACCGACGGCAGTCACCTGCGCTTGCCTTTTGTGTAATTGCCTCGTCCGGTGCCTTTAATCTTACTGCCCTGTTCGTTTGATAGTCGAATCAATCATACCACGTGCGCCGTACCTGGCTGCTGTAGCTGCAATGATGAGACCTTGCAAACGATAGCGACAGGAGGGAATAATAACAGCATCAGTATTATTCACTCCATGATAGCGGGATGCTAAATTTCTTGTTACTGTACTTCATTAGCAGAGGGGACCCGGTAACAGGGGTCGTGTTACGGTGTTAGCTTAAATGACGGCGCATATTGTTTTGTACATTAAAAGCAAGACGATGTTGATTAGTACTTAATGCTTATGAGTTTCCTTTATTTTACAAAAAAAGTGCCTTTTGCGCTTGCCTGGCTTTTCCAAAATTTTGAGAGTTTTTGCCTTGGTTTGCTTTTTAAAAAAAAAAAAAATAAAACGGGCCCCTCCTGTGTAAAAAAAAGTTGCCTTGGTGCCTTTTAAAATTGCCTCTGTGCCCTTCCATTTTAGAGAAAATTCAAGGCGATTTCTCACATGCCCTAAAAAAATTGCCTTGCCCTTCTCGTCGCTTAATTCGAGCCCTGGATGAAAGGATAGACGGCAGAAGTGCATATATTGTATATTTTCGGCAATCAGCAGAGCGTCCCGTTGCGCGCAAATCATGCGTGTACGCGAGTCGCGCGATCACTGTGTGAGTGGATGTCCGGATGCGTAGCCTGGAGGATAGGCGACCGGTTCCGGATGCGTAGCCACTGCGTAAATATATAGCAGGTAGGAAAGCGTGCTGCCAAAATTCGCTCAACGCTCGCTTGATTTCACGCGAATACAACACAAACATTCAACCATTCTACTCCATCTTTGTTTCTATTTCAAGAACAGTGTTCACTTGTTATAAAAACATAATGTCTGTGTTCGTAACTGAGCTGTGTCACGCGAAATCACAAATGCTGACGAAATTCTCGCATTCGCTCCCGTTGCGCAGTTTATGTAAATGGCTGCAAGTACAGGGCTATAGGCGGCGCACTGCATTTTGGGAAACTACCACGCTGCTTTCCAACTCTCGTACGAGCCTCGTCAAAGCCACCAGTGGAGCATTGCAAAAACGTGGCAGCGTTGCGGCAGAAGAATGAGGTCATGAAGAGCAGCGGTGGGTGTTTCCTGATTCTGCTGGCCATTTACATTTACTGGGCAAGGTTAGCGAACGCGAGAATTTCGTCAGTCTTTGTGTGATTTCACGTGACACAGCTCGGTTACGAACACAGACAGTATGTTTTCATAACAAGTGAACACTGTTCTTGAAATGGAAACAAAGATGGAGTAGAATGGTTGAATATTTGTGTTGTATTCATGTGAAATCAAGCGAGAGTCGAGCGAATTTTGGCAGCACGCTTTCCTACCTGCTATATATTTATGTGTCAGTGTGCAGCGGCAGCCAGTGTTTGTTGTAGATGAGCATTTGGGCGGTATTTGCAGGAAATTGTTGGCAATAATAGGTGAAAGAGAGTATAGAAACACTAAGACTTTGGTAGTAAATAGATTTCGTATTTATTTAGCATTATATTTTATTGAAACGCTCCAAGTTCCTGTGTTGTTAGTGTCACACTCACAGTCACAGTGTCAGTGAGGTGATTGTTCTCCAAAGTTTTGAAAGTGTTGATTCAGACAGTTGCACTCTGGTTAATTTGTTCTTAATCACCCGTCACCCTCATATATGTGTGCATCTTTTTTACGTTACAATACAATTATTATGTTACTTCTATTGCAGTCATAGAGTCTATCGAGCCTAGGCGGTCATCCATACTACTACTAGCTGTCGCTTAGACATGTCTGTCACCACGGGTGCGCCACCTGGTGCCGGTGGAATCAGCAAAGCTGTCGTGGTCGCTGCCAAGAATGCCGTACAGATTCCAGGGGTTGTCAAATCGGACGCCATGATCAAAGTGGCGTCTCGAAAAGTCTTGGATGAAAATTCGTATACAGAGGTAAGCGATCCATCGGTGGGTGTTACCAGGTTGTCATCAGTCCTGGCAACGCAGTAGGTTTACGCTGAAGTCTACATTAACAAACCAAATCGTGGAGCCTCCCACTAACGCCAGGAGTAAGATAATATAGGATCCTATATATCCCATATATCTTATATATCCTATATTATCTTACTCCTGCTAACGCTTGTAGGGTCTATGTCCCCCTGACCTCTGTTTGACCTGGCTCGTTTAGCTATTTCTGACTAACCCTAACCCTAACCCTATATATATTATATATATAAATATATTAGTCAGAAATACTTAAACGAGCCAGGTCAAACAGAGGTCAGGGGGGCATAGACCTTATCTGCCCCACTAACAAGTAGCTCCCTGTTTGCAAATATGAGGTAAGGCAATGTGCGGCCCGGCCGACTACTCTGGAACTGCTTCCGCACTAGGTCACACTCTATCAACCAGCTACCTGTGTGGTTAGGTAAGAAGTTGCATTCTCGCACACCACCTAGTCCCTGAGCGTTAATAGAGTACCGAAGTGTGACGTCACGGTGGCATGACAACGAACCTACTGGTTCTACACAACCCACTGGCTCCATAACATTAACTGCGTGAAAATGATGTGCGTACGTAAAAAACGAGTGTGTGCGCTGCAGACAGCGGTAAAGCATCGGTAGCAAGTCGATCTTACAATATTTAATTAATAAATTTTGTTTAAACATTTAAAAAAAAATTTTTTTTTTCCCCTTGTTGCTTTTCACTTCCATCCTTTGGAAATCTATAAAAACTGCAATAATGACTCTCAGAATGATGGTTACAATCGGGTACAAAACACGACACGCAGTTAATGTTACCAGAGCATATGATTGTGTAGAACCAGTAGGTTCGTTGTCATGCCACCGTGACGTCATCACTTCGGAGCTCTATAGTCGCTCAGTAGGAACCTAGGTACACGCGTTGCACTGTGTCTCTCGCTGACTCGTTGTTCTGCCTCACCGTTCCTCTAGGACGTCGCTAAGATCATACAGCGGGATTTCTTCCCGGACGTGCAGCGACTGCAGGCACAGACAGAATACCTCGACGCTCTTGAGGCTAACGATGTGCGGAAGCTGAGAGAGCTGCACACACGATACGGACCCAAACTCAGCGGCGTCCTGCCGACACCCGACGCATGTGAGTCCACCGTTCGCGTTGAGGGTTCTCCCTCAGACCTTTCACAGAATGTCGGGTTCAACATGCCTTCAGCTGCAGCGGATTTGAGACATCCCTTCAATCCTCCCTTGTGCCTCAATTGCTTCATTGACGTGTCTTAATTTCTATCTGTGTTTACTTGTGACAATCTCGATACGGTTGTGCCGAGTTTTCAGAGCTTGGTATATGTCTCCAAACAGATTGAGTATACCAGTGTATTAGAGCCTCAATAGAAACACGTAATTGACACCAATTGGTGAAACCACCTTCTGCGCCGTCTGCCATCCATCCATAAATGACGTGCCTTCTGTAATTCCTGGGTAGAACTGTGAAGTTTAAGCATATTATTACCACCAAACGTAGTTATTTGCAGCAGAATACGGTTTGATTCTGTCGATAAATATGAGAAAAATGAGGAAAGAGAAAAGTGTCTGCACGGTGACTACTAGGTTTGCTCTTTTCTGAGGATGTTAACGATAAGCGAGGCATAATTTCGCACTACGTGCCTGGAGTTACTTCCAACAAAGCAGTGATCGGAAGAGCCGGTGCGACAATTTTTAAAGTAAATGTGTAAATATTCAATTTTTCTGAATCCTTGGTGTTTGGCCGATTTCTGTATTGTTAGTAATAGTGGTTCATTCAGATTGAAACTATTTAATCGTGTCTAAAATAGATGACACAGTAGGAAGATGAAAAATCTGAATGATAAAATTCAAGATAACTCAATTATCATTGGTAAATGTTGGGGTGAAACTCTAGATGTGTTTAGATAAGTGTTGGGATAAAAAAAAAAATTCTATTTCCATTAAATTTTATTTAAAGCCATTATTTTGAAACCATTGCTCAAAAATGCACAATCTGAAAAAAAATATAGCAAAATATAGTCTTACGTCCTAGCAGATATATATTACTGATTACACCAACATGAAAAACACCGAGAAATTATGCTGCCATAGCATAGACGTCGTACACCATAGCATATTTGATTATAGTGGTAATTAATTTGCAAATGTCGCCTCCAAAACAAGTGCACCCGTAGTGCACCTAATTCAAACAAAGACATCTGATATGCGGTATCGCGAGATAGTCCGAGATTCGCAAAAATGGTGGCGGTAATCAAAACGAGTAATCAAAACTCGAATCGTGCATGTTTGATTGAATATAGCCAAGTACGAAGGTTCTAATACATGTTAGCGTTACTCTAGACAGTTGCTGTTACTCAAACAGTAACGGTAAGTATCATAACAGTGGAGAAAACACGGGACTCGTTGAAAATTATTTTTGAAATACTGGTTTTAAACCAAACCTGTGTATGGTTGAGGAGTGTCTCTATGGGAGTTTCAACTAAACTGTTGCAAACACTATGTCACATTTTAGATCACACGCCGGCGACCTTTGACACACCCGAACCAAGTCACCGGAATACTCCGATGGGGATTGCATCTACATCCGAGAACAAGGAAAGTGTGGCTTCACAGGAAGCTGACTGCAATGATGATTCCACAGAGAAGAAAGGTGAGAAGTACTGATGTTTGGACATGTTATTGAGTTGATGGTCTACAAAAAACGTTCAACTTTCAAGCAAGACATATCCTCCCATGTTTTAAGGGAATTTTTTTAAAGAAATGCTGTAATTTTTGAATAATGCTTCGCTCTCTATCCCTCCCTCCCCCCTCTCTCAATCCCTCCTTCCCTCCCTCACTTCCTCCCTCCCCCTCTCTCCTTCTCTATCTCTCCCTACATTCCTCCCCTCTCTCCCTCTCTCCCTCTCCATCTCTCCCTCTGTTTCTGTCCTTACCTACCCCTTACCTATTGCTCTGGCTATATCTTCTGCTTACTATCGCCTA